AACCAGCGTGGCCAACTGTCTTGGATGGCTCAGAAGTGTCCTGATTTTACCATTGAATGTCCCATAACCCAGGAAATCCTCAGTCTCTAGCAAACTGGAATGGTGTCACTCTAGATTGAAACTGTGAACATGAAACCAAAGAGCAAATTAGTTACTCAAAGGACCAAACTAAGAGAGTACAAGTAAGTAGCAGAATCCCAGGCTAGAACCTAGATTAGCAGAGGGAGGATGACCCTCCACCCACTAGTGGGATGTGGCCTAGTGATTAGGAATGTGGGTTCTGGGTAGGGAAGACCTGGGCTTGAATCCTTGCTCTGCTGCTGGGTGGAGATCTTAAGCAAGTTACTTAATTTCTCTCTCTCTCTCTCTCTCTCTCTCTCTCTCTCTCTCTCTCTCTCTCCCCTGTGCATCTCAGTTTTCTTACCTATGATGTAAGATGGCTTAATACCCTGTAGGGTTGTAGTGAGGATCAGATGAGGACATTCACATAAAATTATTAGCTCTCTGACTGGACTTGGTTGGCTTACATAGCATTTAACATTGTCAGGAGATTTTTCCATAAAAGCTTGGATTTCTGACATTTCTGACAAATCAGCAAGTCCTGCTACCACCCATGGAAGCTGCATAGCAGATGCTTTCTTTAGAAGGCATATGTATTCTCCCAAGAGGACAAGACCCCCACCTAGCCCTCTCTACTTCATGTGCTTGGTCCTTTGGCGACACTGAGTTTTCATTCCATGTTGTAAGTCTCCTCTGCTTGTGGTGCAGTTCAACCACTGGGAGCTTGTTGGAAATGCAGGGCCCCTAAGGGCCCACCCAAATCCTAAGGCACGAGAATTTTCATTTTAATAAGATCCCTGGTGATACTTCCTGACTCTAAAGTTTGAGAAGCACTGTTACAAACCACAGAGCATTATTCCTAACCACAGTGAGTATCAAGATCATCTGGGGAGTTTTTTGTTTGTTTGTTTTCTAGCTGTGTCCAAGGACCTATTCAGACTTGCTGTAATCAGAGTTCCTGGGATGGAATGTCCATGCTGCTAAATTAATGCTAGTGACAGGATTTCACTGTGAACACTTGAGAACTATAGGTTTCCGTTTAGATGAAAGAAAGCTAATTATGTTATCTTTTTGGGGTCCTCAGATAGAAAAAGTTCTGCTAATAATGATGACTATATAATCTGAATATACTTCAGGTTGAAATTTTGCCCATTGGTTGTAACTGCTGAATGAGGCCTGGTTGTAGATGGATTTTTGGTATTATTTGAAGGGGTTTGAAGCAGGTATATGTCCTTACTCATCTCACCTGAACAGTTTCAAGGGAACTAGATTGTTTCAGAAAATTTTCTTTGTTATGGTACAGTCTTACTGGTTTGCAGGAGAGCAGTGAGAGTCTAGAAACAGTGACGCTATTAGCTGTTTTTTTTTTTCCTTTAAAAATATTTTGAATTGCTCTTAGGTAAGTCCTTAACTCATCATGGCTTTAATAGTTTTCTGTTTGTCTCAAACAGGATGGCCATCAGACCTCATAGCCACTATTTGTTAAATTACTTTTCCACATTGCCTCTTCAGTACTCTTAGTGACTTAACCTCCCTTTGTGTGGTCAAACCAACCCTCCTCCAAAGTTTATTTGGCCAAAATATCAGAGATGCCTTATTAGAAATTTCTAGTGTTAATTCATTTTTAATATAAAACTTTAGTTTATAGTAAGTTTATATTTGATTAATTTACATTTTCAATTTCCTTTCAACTAACTTTTTGAGGTAGACTTTTCATATAAATATTTGCTAGTGATCTTTTCTCTGTCATTTTGTTTAGCAGTGTAAAATGAACAAAGGCATGCTTGAGAGTTTTGATATTTAATTGTAATGTACTTATCACTTTAACAATTATTGGAAGCTTCTGATTCTGTTGCTTCATTCACATTGGGGAAAGTAAAAAGTTACTGAAGATCTGCTATTGTGACTGTCAACTAGATCTATGGACTAGTGGTGTTGGCATCAGCTGGAAACTTGTTAGAAATGTAGAGTCCCCGGCTCACTGCAGAGCTGTTGAATCAGAAGACACTCCAGCAAGTGGTTTATGTGCATGTTGAAGAGTGAGAAGCTCTGGACTAAATGGTTTACTAATTACTTCTACTTTAGGATGATCAAAAGTAGGTGGTGGTGGTGAAAATAATTTACAGAAAGTATCTTTTTTCCATCTGCTGAATCTCTGCTTTTTTCTTCTTAAATTTCTTTTTAATGAAGATACTGCTGTATCCACATGTCTTGGGATCTCTCCAACTGTCCATATTGCCATTCTTAGTCACTCAGAGCAAGCATGCCCTGGGGCGCTCCCTTCAGTTCTCTGCTCTTTCCTAGTTAATATTTTATTTGGAGACACATGTAGCCAGTATGGAACTATCTACGCTTTGCGTACTTTTGATTTTCCAGTCTCTCTACTTGCATCTGCCTTGAGCTGGCCTGGCATTTAAGCTATCCCGAGTCTGTTCCTTAGCCAGTGCTGCCTCTTACCTCTGGCTACATGTTAGAATCACCTGGTGAGATTTAAAACAGATTAGCACCTTGGTTCCATCCCAAGTGAACTAAATCAACTTCTAGGGATGGGTTCTGGCAGCAGCAGCTTAAGTCAGTTTCCGAGAACAGGGTCGGGGTGATTCTGTTGTGCAGCCATGCTTTAAAGCCCCAGGACTCCGTGATCTTCATTCATCATCCATCTACCATCCATTAATTCATCGATGTGCCCCACAGACATTTCATGAATTTCTACTGTGTGTTAGATGCTTTCCTAAGTTCTAAGAGTTTCTCAGCCTCAGCACGGTTAGCATTTTGAGCTGGACATCGTAGGGTGTTTAACGGAATCCTGGCTTTTACTCACTTGATGTCAGTAGTGTCCACTGCAGTTATGACAAACAAAAATGTCTCCAGACAAATGGCAAAAAATGTTCTTTGGGGGTAAAATTTCCCCCAGTTGAGGACCATTGTTTTAGGTCTATTGATGAAAAATTTTATTACTCAATCTGGGTCTATTGATGAAAAATTTTAAGTGCAGATAATTACATTAGGGTGGGACAAGTATAGTAAGAGCTTCAGGACAAAGTACATAGACAATACTACGGAGGGTTGGGAGGCAGCATTTAAGTTGAGTCTCCAGGGATGTGTGGTTATTTTCTGGGTGGGCAAAAAGGAGAACACCTCATAGTGAGAGAATAGCACTTAGGCAGGTGTGGAATTATGTCCCATCATCTCCCACCTCATGCATGAGGGATATTGTGATCTACTTTTCATTCATCCCACCTCCCTCTACATCCTGTTTATTATTTCTTCTCCATGTGTTGACAGTATCACTACATTTATCGCTTTGCTCTGAAACTGCAAGTCATCTGCCATTAATTACAAGGTGGATTCTTTTTTTAAATATCAGCTTTATTGAGATAGAATTTATATACTTGCATTAGTTTCCTATGGTTGTCACAACAAACTACATCAATAGAAATTTATTTTCTCACAGTTTTGGAGGCCGGAAGTTTGAAATCAAGGTGTCACCAAGGCCACATGCCACCTGGAGGCCCTAGGAGAGAATGCTAGAACACTTCCATGCTTCTTCCAGCTTCTTCTGGCTATGGGCATTCCTGGCTTTGTGGCCACGTCACTCCAGCCTCTGCCTCTGTCTTCACATTGCCTCCCTCTATCTGTGTGTGTGTGTTAATCTCTCTCTGTCTTTTTTGTAGAACGACACTTGTTATTGAATTTAGGGCCCAGCCAGAGAATCCAGGATGATCTTCTTATCTCAAGATGCTTAATTTAATTGCATCTAGAAAGACCCCTTTCACAGGTTCCAGGGATGAGGATGTGACTTTTGGGAGCCACAGTTCACCAGTTTCCCACAATTCATCCAATTAAAAGTGTACAGTGGTTTGTAGTATATTTACAGAGTTGTACATCCATCACCACTATCAATTTTGTATTTTTTTCACCCCCCCACAATGCAACATTGTAGGTATTAGTAATCATTTCCCATTTTTCCCCAACCCCAGCCCCAGGCAATCACTAATCTTTCTGTCTCTGTGAATTTGCCTAGTCTGAACATTTCATATAAATGGAATCATACGATATATGGCCTTTTGTGATTGGCTTCTTATACTTAGCCTGATGTTTTCAAGATTCATTCATGTTGTAGCATGTATCCATACTCCATTCTTTTCTATTGTTGAATAAGAGTCAATTATATGGATATATCACATTTTGCTTATCCATTCATCGTTTGATGGACATTTGGGTTGTTTCCACTTTTTGGCTATTATATATAATGTTGATATGAACACTTGTGTACAAGTTTTTGTGTGGATGTATGCTTTTATTTCTCTTGGGCTTATACCTAGAAGTGGAATTGCCAGGTCTATGGTAACCTTCTCAGAACTGCCAGACTCTTTCAAAAGGTACTGGCACCATTTTGCATTCCTATCAGTTGTGCACGAAGGTTGCAGTTTCTCCTGTTACTTTGTCATTTTAAAATTTAGTTCTATTGTCAGTTCTGCATTTTCTGATAACCTTCTCACTAAGGATAGAAATATATTTCCACTCCCTTTCTGTTAATGTCACAATATTCTTTTTGCACTTCAAGAAATGAAAGGCGATCAGCTCTTATCTGTTCTACATATAACATTTACTTTTGGTCTCACCCTACTTCCCAGGAACTTAGTAGAAAGCAAAATATTAACTTCTGTGTGTGTCTCCACATCCATAATATTTTAGCTCCAAAACCTGAAGTGTTCTCTGTGAGCTATAAGCTTAATGAGAGTAGAGAGTAGGCACCCAGATCTTTCGTGTTTCTTGTGAACTTTGTCTGCAGCTTGTGGTGACTGCTCAATAAATATTCAATAAGAATGTGATTATTGCCTCATCTGTTAAAGGATTTAATATTTTGCAGGTTATTTTCTTAATTATGCATACATTTCTGAATCTCTAATAACTTTGGTTATTGTTTTTATGTGCAGGTGAGCAGGAGACTAAAGATGCAGCAGAAGAATATAAAGAATCCTAAGCAAGGACTTGCTGAGTATGCTTTTAAGAAAGTTGGTAATGAAGTTAAATTACATTTTTTATTGAATTATTTGAATTCAATGAATGCATTGTGGCGACTATTCTTTAACGATTTTGACATTTGGAGTCTCTTTGTGGATTATATTTCCTTGATATTTTTGTGACTTGGGGTGTGATTGTTCAGCGGTTTTTGTTCATTAAGATTTCTGGGAACATCGTTTTAAATTTATTGCTAATCTTACAATATTAGGATTCGTTATAAAAACCAACATTTTAATGCAAACGTGTTATGGTCAAACTAGTTGAAGTGCTGTGATTGTCCTATATTCGATTTTGAATGTTTCAACTCTACTGTGATTCAGACAGATCGTCGTGGTCACTGGGAATTTTTGCTCTGGCCCTGCATTTCCTTCTTCTCATCTATCTCATGTCTGTGACATTGGCACAGCCTGCCATAAGACAAAATGAATTGTCTCAACAAAGCAATGCTAGAGGAGCCTTTACTGTCTTATTGGTGATCATACATTTCTTAAGTCGGAGTTTGACTGAATGATTTGATGTATTACTTTGTTAATAATAGTTAACAATAGCTTGTTATTTTCTTTCAGAGCTGGGGCCTTTTAGATTGCATCAAATAAAGATGAGCTACTTTAAAAAAAGTCTGTGGTGCCATTTTAAGAGAGATGGTTTGTCCAGTTATAAGTCAGTAACTAGATTAATGACAACGTTTTATGTTGACTTTCTGTCAGATGAGTTGGCATTAGAATTGGAAGTCCAATGTGTTTCTGAATCAAAAAATGAGCAGGCTATTTATTGTGGCGCCTTTAATACAATTTGGAGTAATGTATACACAACATTATTTTTGCTGGCACATGCTCATCTACCGATAGTGAATAACATTAATGATTGTTTATGTGGAATTTCCTTGACTTTTTACAATGAGAAATTCTATAGCTACTATTTTCATGTGTATTGATAGGCAGTTTCTTTTTCCAAACACTCTATTTTACTTTAATATTTGTTCATTTAAAATAGCAATGTTTCATGCTGATGTCAATGTGCTACATATAATTTATCTTGATGCCAAGAGATTTGCTGTGGGATGGCAGAATAAGTTAAAAGTCATGATTTTAGATTCTCATAGGAATGACGTAAGGTGTACTCTGTGTTTTAGGGTTTGAGTGGGAAGAATCAGAGGGCAAAGGAAAGAGAAAGAGAGAATGGAAGGGAGGGGAGGGAGGGGAAAGGGAAGGGACGGGGGAGAGAAAAAGAAACACGGAGTATTTCTAGACTTGCACTGCACAGAGATTATGACTTTATAGTGTGCTTTTGCAAGTGATATTTGGGACATAGTGAGCCTTTCTGTTATTTATATAAGAGGGAAGAAAATAGAGTGATTTTAAGTAATGAATTTTGTCATAAAAGAGGTGAGACAATTCTATAGCATGTCAACTGATGGTAACTCTAACAGGACTGGTAACTAAATCTGTAATATAATTCATCATAAAACTTCTGGATTTTTAAAAAAAGTCACCCTGATTTAGATAGAAAGTGTTCTTATTAAAAATAAGTGTTTTTATTTTGGATTTCCCTTTAGGCCTTAGTATTTGTCCAGAATAAGGTGAAACCCTGTCTCTACTAAAAGTACAAAAATTAGCCAGGCATGGTGGTAGGTGCCTGTAGTCCCAGGTACTCGGGAGGCTGAGGCAGGAGAATCACTTGAACCTGGGAGGTGGAGACTGCTGTGAGCTGAGATTACGCCACTGCACTCCAGCCTGGGAGACAGAGGCAGACTCCATCCCCCCGCCCAAACAAAATTATAGAAGAGAGATAACTAATTGAATTTAAGGAATGAATCTAGGAGCTTACAGTTGGAGGCTTTTCTACATATGACGCTTCAGAAAAAAAAAAAAAAACTACTGGCACTACCTTTATTGTACATTCCTATAAGACTTAGAGTTTATTGCTCTTCAGTTTAGCTCTCCCACAACGCATGACAATAAACTCTTGGAGGAGGAAAAAAGCTATCATCTCAGTGATCTGATTTAAATTTTTAACAAGTCCTTTATTTCAGTACAACCTGCTGACTTGAAGGTCAATCTTAGGGTGAAACTGGAACATGCCTGGAAGAAAATCTCCTCTTTCCAGTCACTTTCTCTGTCTTATCTTGGTATTTTAAATCAGTTTTCCTTCACTGTCCAAGAATGAATTAGAATTATCTCCCAGGACTTCACATGTTGAACTCTTCTGAGAATGAATGATGCTGTTTAATTCTTTGCCATTTCAAATAATTATTTCCTTTAGATCAGTTCTCCTAACTCCACCACTATCATCAACACTTTCTAGTTCTTGCTTCTTCACCTTGGTACTTTAAAATGATTTGGCAACTGACATTTATATGTGATCAGTGCTACTCAGAATGATGAGTATTTATAGAATGAGAGTGAAAAATCCACAAGGAAGATTTTATCTCACTCAGCCAGTCTAGTGTTTAATAGACCGCACGGCCAGAGCTTTAACCTACTTATAAAATTTCTTCTTTGATTTGTTTTCATTAAAACTGGAAATTAACTGGTTAGTCAGTATTCCACATTCATGATTAGCCCTTCCAAACATCAGGGTCTACTTATTGTTACACTTGGGCCTTTTCTTCACACAATAATTTGTATTTAGACACACACACACACACACATTTATTCATTCCTTCCAAATTTTACTTTTTTTAGTCATCTTTCTTGATTAAACTTATTATTCCTTCTTTGAAAGGCGTTATCTGTAATGCTTGGTGCACCGTTGCAAGGACAACTCCTCCCTCATACACATGGACTTCCGAAGCGTCTCCACAACATGGAATCAATCGTGTTGCCCAACCAGTGCTATCATTCATGGGTCAGAAAATGTAGCTGCGAGAGTCAAGTGTGCTTCCGTGTTTTTCCCTTTGTTTTCATTCTTCTCTTTAGAATCAGAACTGTACTTTGAAAAGGATTCCATAGATGACATCTAATGACATTAATATGAAATTTTATTTTTTTGGGTCCCTTGACTTTGGGATACTTTCTCTTTTATATGTTTCTGATGTGGCAAGCTAATGTATCATTTTGTTCTTTTATTCCACAAACCCAGCAAATTCTAAGCCTAGGCCTGAGCAACTCAGTCTTTCTAAATCACATACAAAGTGTGAATGTTGGTGTGATTTACTGTAATTTCTTTTCGTGTATGCTATATTGATTTATGAGTGGCATCTACCCATACTTCATGACATAAAGCCAGTAAGGAACAAATAAGCACAGATACAGTAAGTATAAATATAAATTTCCATATGATTTATTGTTGTTCCTTGTACATAAGAAACGGTAATATACAACTTACACTGCTTTAGAATGTAAAATGGATAAAAATGTGTACAAAAAAAGCACATTCCTAGAAAAAGGTATTGGCAAATAGTAAAAATGGGGGCAGATTAAAAGCAAAAAAAACCAAATCAAAACAAAACAAAAAAAGAAAAAAAACAACAATTCTTCAATTCAGTGTGCAAACATTATATAAAAATAGAAATACTAACTCTACAGGCAGTATTTCCTGATAAATTATTTAAATAGCGTATCTACACAATCTGAGATATCTATTCCAATGGCAATGAGAAAATAATTTATAAAAATAAAGCAATGGTATACAAGATGATAGAAAAAAAACGTAACTTTCAGAAACTGTATTTAACATTCCAATGCTATTTCCTTATTGGGAATACTTCTCTGCAGAACTTTCATACTATGTACAACATTGACTTTTTAGGTCCTACAGTAGCTTTAAGTTTGCTAGACACTTAAACTCTTTCTTCTTGATCCAAAGATTCTTTACTCAGTCACACAACAAATGAGGTAATATTTGTATGTAAGTTTCACCTTTGTCATTTTTTTTCTCTTTTGGAAAAATGAAAGTAAGAAGTGTATATGCTTTCCGTCTCCCTGGAAATAGGCACATGGGATGGGGTAAAACAGTATCGAAGACCTCATGGCTTGCAATGCAGAACATTTGCAAATGGATAACGAATTCCCCTTGGAAAGACAAAACAAAGAAAAAAGAATCCCATAGCATCCACTCTGAGCATAAGGGGAAGAGCAGCTCGTTAGGCTGATTTTCCTTGTGTCTTTCTTGCAAGAGATTTGCTGATAAATCTCAGCTACTTGCTCTCAAGCTCTTTCCATATGAAGCCTAAATTCCAGGCAGAACAGAGTTAATAAATAATCTGTATTTACAATCTGAAACAGTCACGAAGACTTTCAACAAAGATAACATGGATAGTCCTTACGCTTCTTCCTGTTCCATGAATAATCCTTCAGCCAGATCTTCCAGAATAAGTAAAAAATAAATATTTTACAACATTAAAGCATTTGAAAAAAAAAAATCTACACTCCAATAGAGAGAATTGGAAAACTCCATGATAATTCAGAAGAGAAAAGGAATGTTTTAGTTAGGTTGATAATAATTTTGTGCCTTTGTAACCATAAAAATATAAGCATGGCTGCCCCTCCTTTGGGAGGCAGCTGGTACTCACTGAGATGGTAGGTTTTCCTATTTTCCTGCTATATCTACACAAGCTACAACCGGAATTAAACCACTAATTTCAATGTGACCAGGCAATGGGAGCCAGCACTGTCTTACACTGGTCTCATTCTCATTTCCTAATTCTGGCCACTGCAGGTGATATGTAAGGGGTGGGGATCAGGGAGGAAGTCCAGAAGCCAGTCTTTCTCTCCCCTTGTTGCTTCTATTTAAGTGCCTATTTACATGGGTTAATCAGCTAACACCAGTCAGCATCATGAAATCCAGCAATAGTCTTTCAATCCCCTGAAAATGACTTAGTACCAAACATGTAACAGTTCCTCCATATTTTCTTCATACAATCGTCTTGGGTATGTGCCTTCCCCTTAGTGCTTTGGCCTCTGCTCCCCATGTTCCTGAAGGAGGATGTCAGGGCGGTTTTGTTTGCTAATTCTAGTGAGCCCTCCCTTCTCTGACATGCCTGAAAATGCTTTTGAGTCCAGTGCTCAGAGATGGCCCCACAGTAGCACCCTGCTGTGTGACAAAGGCAGAGTGGAATGGGCACCTTCCCAACTGAAGCAAGTAGATGCTTTTTCAAAGGAAACCAAAACAATTGTTTATATGCTTGGAAGATGTCTTCTCATTCTTTGGAGGCTGAATGCTGAGACTGTTTTTGAAAACTGCATTTTCTTGAGGCAGGTCGCATGTTCTAGGAGTCCACACTGATGCAAGCAGAGAAAAAAGGAAGGCAAGAAGTGATCCTGGGGTTTTCTCAAGCCCATGGTTCCAGAAGGTGCAATACCAGCATTGGTTTATGATCAGTCTTTCAATCAACAATTTGATGATTAGGAATCTGTTAAATAAATAAACACATAATATACAAATGAAAACTAATTCGTAAAGGCCTAGGCATCTCAGTATCAGTTAATAAATTAAGCACCTAGGACTAGCTCTACTTTTCTAATTTCAAAAGCCTAATTTAAGATTGTTCAAACACATTAGCATTTAATTTTATTAGCTGGCACAGATGCCAGGAGACTGACACAGTGTGACCTTCCAGAATGTGTATCATGCTTTCCAAGGCTTTCAATGTTAAAAGTTTAGGGAATCTTATTTTAGAAATCCAGACTCAAAAATTATATTAATAACTGAGATATTTTTTGAGTAAAACCAACCATCTTTCTCTACTCTAATTGATCTTTTAGGTATCTGGCCTTGGCTCAGTAAATATACATTAAGTACTTAATCACTGAGTAAAAAAGAATGGAGAAAATAAAGCTAAGCTTAATAGTGAACATTAATTTAACATGCCAATATGAAAGCAACATTCCTCTCCCTTCTTTGTATGCAGGGAAAAGTTGTAAAAAGATAACTGGTGCTGTGATGGCATGAATAAAACGCTAGGCAGTGTGTAAGATCTATAAATACATGGTTGTAAAGAACAGTATTATTGATGAAGTCCGAATTGTATAGGAGCTTTTCTGCAGCCAACGTCTGCACTGTGTATGAGGAGCGCAGAGATTGCTAAGCAAACTCATATTATTACTAAGGCCTCAGGAACTCATAAGCCCCAGTGCTGACGCATTATTCTGTTTTTGTCCTTGTGTCCTCAAAAGTAATATAGAAATAACCCTGTCTCCAAAATAGTCTTTAATGTGATCTCCCCCGTAATTGTCATCCTTGATATTAGTGTGAATTAGAGATGTTCAGTGTACATTCATGGCAATGTTCCTCCTACCTCTACATTCATATTTCAGGTCGGAGAAGAACACCATTTCTTGAGAGAAGACAAACAACCCTAGTCTACCACCAGCATAGGTTTTATCATAGATGGGTCCTGAGTCAGCCATGATTTTCTTCCCTTCATACATCACCACTCTGCAGGGAAAAAAAAAATCTTGTTTAGTGACACTGCTATTGAATACTTTTTGTCTGTTTGTCCATCAGTGTGACTGTAAGTGGAATTTAATCAGTGCGATCTTACCTAATGAAACCCGTCTTTGGCCTGTGGCTGAGACGCCATCTGTAGGCGGTGAAATCTTTCCAGCCTATGTGACGAGGGTCATGCCACAGGGTGCGCACCTGAAGGAAAAGGAAAAAAGGGTGAAACACAGCTCCTTCAGGAAGAGACTTCTATTTCATTCTGTAAGAAACAGTGCTTGAAAGGTTCCCAGTGGATCTAAATGAGAGGGCTGCAATGCAGATTTTTTCCGAGTCCGCTTGTATTTGTTGTGTGCCACTGAGTGCTCACATAAAGCAGACAGAGAGGAGGGAAGGAGTGTTTTGTTTGAAAAGGCTGAAGGCACCTTAGGATTTCTGGGGCGACTCTTGGTTAAGCTCCCTTTTCAACACGATTATGTTTTCACAAAGCAGAGCTTAATGCTGAAGCTGGTGATGCTGGGAACTCTCGAAGACTCCCTGGTCGGAGTCTTGGTCAAAGCACAGGTCCCAGTGCTCGTCAAGCACCCATCAACTCTCCCTCTTTTGCAGCGTGTGGCTTCTTACCTGGCCAGGGGTGTTTCCTGTGTGCCACAGGGCATTCCGCAGGTGCTCGCCAGGCCCTGTCGTGGAGTTCACAACTTTCACAGAAAGGCCCGAGTATCCCTGAGCCCTCGTGGGGTTGGTGTCCCAGTAGGACTGGGTGACTTGCTTCCACATCACAACATAGAAGCGGCTGCTGGACTGGTAGCCAAAGACAAAACCAGCATAGTCATCGTCCCTTTCCGTGTTGATGAAGAAGGTGCCACTGAAGTCCACAGCATTAAACTCGTCATAACCTGGAAGACGAGCCCAGAGCCAGGTTAAAACCTGCAGCTTTCAGAAGGTTCTCCATCATGTTCCCACACAGCCTCAGCACCCACAGGGATGGGTACAATTGCCAGGTTTTATATTTGTTTTCTTTCCATGTATGCATCAGCCTCTTGACCTAAGAACTCACTACTCACCTACAGCAAGTCCAGGATCACAGTTGACAGTCTGGACGAGTTCTTTACCCTGATGGCGTACAACCCAGTTAGGGTCATTCTGGGATGTCCCTTTGGGATCCAGAGGAATCATCTGGAATCGGCGGAAATCGGTCTCACTGATGTCAACATTCTCAGGACAGATGTCATCGATGTCTGGCACACTGTCATGGTCAAAATCATCTTTGCAAGCATCACCTCGACCATCACCTAAGGTCAAAAAAGCAAGAGCTCAGCAAAATTCTTAAGTGCTGTTATTTTGTTGGTGTCAGAAATGTCACTATCTTGTCAAAGTTGGCATTTGGTCCCTTCGTTCTCTCAACTGCTTTGAGCCTTGCTTTCACTTCCTCCATCTAGACAGCCACACCAGCGGTCACTCTCTTAGAAAGTGGCTCCCCTGACTCACCGTCAGAGTCCTTCTGGTCAGGATTGGGCACGAGTCTGCAGTTGTCCCTGTCATCAGGAATGCCATCGTTGTCATCATCGTGGTCACAGGCATCTCCCTTGCCATCTTTATCATGGTCAGCCTGGTTGGCATTGGGCACATAGGGACAGTTGTCCAGATTGTTCTGGTGGCCATCTTCATCAATATCCTGATTGTTGTCACAGGTATCTCCAATGCGGTCTGAGTCAGAGTCCAGCTGAAAGAGAGAAGTAAATGGAGGATAAATTACAGTATAAACCATTCATGTTAAAGGTAACTTATGCCCCCACAACAGGGAAAATTCTCCATTGTTTGATATGGCCAGTGGGGTTTCATGCCTATTTATATACTCCTGTAGAAAAATAGCTATATTAGCAATTACATTTTAAAAGTTTTTTTTTTTTTTTCTTTATCCTTGTTTTCTTATAAAAATCTGAGAAGGGATAATTTAAAAATTTTTTAAATACAAAACTTTCTAAATAAATAGAGTTATTTAATTGCTAAGGATGAGATAAAATGTTAACTGTTTACATCTTAATGTTAAATG